CTTTGTGAATCTCCCCAACATTTTTGAATGGGTTTTGTTTCACAATCCTCTCCAGGGTGCAGTTATCTCTCTTGCTTGTACACTTTTTTCGACCACATCTTTTCCTTCCCTTCGCCTCTCTATTAATGTGCTTGGACACTGAGCTCTGTGAACAGCCAGCCTCTTTAGCGATGACCTTTTGTGTCTTGCCCTCCTTGTGCAAGGTGTCGATGGTCGTCTTTTGGACAACTGTCAAGTCAGCAGTCTTCCCCATGATTGTGTAGCCTATAGAACTAGACTGAAAGACCATTTAAAGGCTTTTGCAGGTGGTTTGAGTTAATTAGCTGATTAGAGTGTGGCACCAGGGGCCATCAATTTTGAACCTTTTCACAATATTCTAATTTTCTGATATGATGAATTTGAGATTTTCATTTGTTGTCATTTGTAATCATCAAAATTAAACAAAATAAACATCTGAAATATATGAGTTTGTATGTAATGTATGAATATAATATACAAGTTTCACTTTTTAAATGGAATTACTGAAATCAATCTACTTTTTCATGATATTCTAATTTTATGACCAGCACCTGTATATATATATATATACACTATATTGCCAAAAGTATTTGCTCACCTGCCTTGACTCACATATGAGCTTAAGTGACATCCCGTTCCTAATCCATAGGGTTCAATATGACGTCGGTCCACCCTTTGCAGCTAGAACAGCTTCAACTCTTCTGGGAAGGCTGTTCACAAGGTTTAGGAGTGTGTTTATGGGAATTTTTGACCATTCTTCCAGAAGCGCATTTGTGAGGTCGCACACTGATGTTGGACGAGAAGGCCTGGCTCTCAGTCTCCGCTCTAATTCATCCCAAAGGTGTTCTATCGGGTTGAGGTCAGGACTCTGTGCAGGCCAGTCAAGTTCATCCACACCAGACTCTGTCATCCATGTCTTTATGGACCTTGCTTTGTGCACTGGTGCACAGTCATGTTGGAAGAGGAAGGGGCCAGCTCCAAACTGTTCCCACAAAGTTGGGAGCATGGAATTGTCCAAAATGTCTTGGTATGCTGAAGCATTCAGAGTTCCTTTCGCTGGAACTAAGGGGCCAAGCCCAGCTCCTGAAAAACAACCTCACACCATAATCCCCCCTCCACCAAACTTTACACTTGGCACAATGCAGTCAGACAAGTACCGTTCTCCTGGCAACCGCCAAACCCAGACCCGTCCATCAGATTGCCAGATGGAGAAGCGCGATTCGTCACTCCAGAGAACGCGTCTCCACTGCTCTAGAGTCCAGTGGCGGCGTGCTTTACAACACCGCATCCGACGCTTTGCATTGCACTTGGTGATGTATGGCTTGGATGCAGCTGCTCGACCATGGAAACCCATTCCATGAAGCTCTCTGCGCACTGTTCTTGAGCTAATCTGAAGGCCACATGAAGTTTGGAGGTCTGTAGTGATTGACTCTGCAGAAAGTTGGCGACCTCTTCGCACTATGCGCGTCAGCATCCGCTGACCCCGCTCCGTCAGTTTACGTGGCCTACCACTTCGTGGCTGAGTTGCTGTCGTTCCCAAACACTTCCATTTTCTTATAATACAGCTGACAGTTGACTGTGGAATATTTAGGAGCGAGGAAATTTCACGACTGGATTTGTTGCACAGGTGGCATCCTATCACAGTTCCATGCTGGAATTCACTGAGCTCCTGAGAGCGACCCATTCTTTCACAAATGTTTGTAAAAACAGTCTGCATGCCTAGGTGCTTGAATTTATACACCTGTGGCCATGGAAGTGATTGGAACACCTGATTCCAATAATTTGGATGGGTGAGCAAATACTTTTGGCAATATAGTGTATATATATATATATATATATATATATATATATATATATATATATATATATATATATATATATATATATATATATATATATATATATATATATATATATATATATATATATAAATAAAATAGAGTTATGTAAAAAGTGTTTTAAAAAAAAACTTTAAATCTGTTTTAAGGCAGTGGATATAATATCAGTGCTGTTGGTAAGATAGGCGAAGCTGGACACTAGCCTAAATAGCTAAACTAAATAAACATTATTAACCATGGGCACAATAAAGATAATGTGCTCATTTTTAGCTGATGTATTAATTCATGACACAATATTAAGCTTAAATGTTCTTTTTTAATCAATGATCAATCAAGTTTAACAAAACTATTATTTACAATTGAATTCTGCTTGAAAGGCCTAGCAAGCATTTGCTAACCTAAAACTTCTGCTACATCTTAAATTACCCACAGTTAAAGGTTATATTTCCAAAAGGAAAAGTGTTTTTTCTCATGTAATACTCTCTAAAATGCATTTCTATGTTCTGCATTAAATAAAGTGTATACTAAATCCTACTGCACTTCTCAAAGAATCATTGGAAGGCTTTTTAATCAGATCATAATTTCAGGTATGGTAAAGTTATTGATTTTTTCATTTCGTAGTAGAGTTGGTTGTTAATCAAAATCAGCTGTTTTGTGTATATGGTATCAAAAATGTGCAAGTGGCAACGATAAGATGTCCCCAAAATAGTTTTGTAGTTGGAGGCCAAACATTTTCCATTTTTTATGCCACTACTATAGCTTTTCCCCATAGATTTCACTGCCATTAGGTGTTGGGAAGAAAATGCTCAGACATGTTGTTAGACCTTTCACTGGCGCAGGAGGTTCTGATTTCCTCCTGGTCCCTAAAACCCACAAAGAAGGAGGAATTTATACCACTGACCTTCCTCCATGATTTTAATCCTATATAACATTTCTGTAACATCAGATGGTGGTATCCATCAAACACTACCAGGCTAGAATTCTGACTGTCCAGGGGCTCAATGATTTCCCCAACTGGGGTCTGGAAGAAGATACCCCAGGATGAAAATGATCATCTCATAAGTAGTATACCCTGATGAGTTTAAGCATCCATACAAGCATGTGGCATCATATGAACTACTGGCACATTTCACTTTGCCTGTGACTCTGGATTAAGCCCTCTGCGGGTTGGTAAATGTTATTGTCATCAACTGATCTGGCACCCCATTGTTCCTCACACATGACACCACCCATTCCATATCAGAATGGCTATCCAGCATGACTTCTTTTTATTGAGATCTGATGTATTTTTAAAGTGCTCTTTAATATGTTTTGAGCTTTGCTTTTTAAACTGAAGGTCTAACTTCAGAGAAAGTGTTTAAATCAAAATCAAATAGAACTTTATTTATATAATACGTTGTGTTATTACTACTGTACCTTTGCAGGTTTTCCTTTTTAAGAGCCTACTTTAAAACTTCAGCAAATTAGGCATAAAAAAAGGAATAAGTTTTGTGCATTTTCACAAAAAGGTCTATCCTGCCACCTTTGTTAGTTGTGTTAAAGACAACGAACTGACAGCCTTTGGAAATAAATAAGATCCACTAGAATTTAAACCAAAAGATGTTTCCATTACTAAGTCAAACTATAACACAGGGGATAGCTGATCTCAAACTGTGCTTGGTAAGCTTGGCCGTCCATGTTCTATGTGGAAACTGGCTTTTTTCTTTTTTTTTTTTTTTGCATCGAGTGGCTCAACTGAACCATAAAAACAAAAACAAAAAAAAAGCTTTTGCCTATTGTGCACCAAATAGTCTCTCTGCTGCTTATTTGTATTTTCAGTTTTTGTAAATAGACATAAACTGTGAGTGCTGTAAGAAACTACAGATGTGCTGTTTATCTGGCATTAATTTTAAACTAAGTTAATAACACTATAAGTCTTTTTATCTATCTATCTATTTATCTATCTATCATCTATCTATCTATCTATCTATCTATCTATCTATCTAGCTACCTTCTGATTTTTGAGGGGTCCTTGTTTAGAGAGCGGGGAATTGTATTTAGCTATCTGTGGGGTGGCAAAATAAGGGATTTACTTTGGATGTCCTTCATGAAAGAACCTTGACTGCTTGTTTATATCTCAAGCTTCTTACATTTGTGTACTCAAATTGAAATTGCATTACCTTTCCCCCTACTCAAGTCTCAATCCCTTGATGTTTGTTCGAGGCAGACCTTAGCTGTACTGTAGAGGTAGGGATGTTGTGGTAGAAAAAAAAACACAATTTTATTTCACTTAGCAATTAGTTTCCTGTAGGCTAAATAGTGGCGATCACAGAGCTTTTACATTTCCGTAATAGGGAAAACTTTTTGAGGAATAATATATCCATATCCTTATGTATCTGACTCTGTCCCATATCATCATCACTGTATTAAAAGTTCTATCATGTTTTCCATTTGGTCTTCTAGGATTCCTTCATGTGCCCCCTCTGTACGCCACTCGGCGGTGCTCACATACTTCCTCTCTCGGAAAAATAATCAAGTTGTCTATAATCCACATGACTCTAGATGTTGATGCTAATAATTCGTCATATAATCGGTGAGGAGAACAATAACAGCCCGTATTCCAGCTAGACTAAAACCAAGCTTTTGGAACGGTAAGACATTACTTCTTTAAAAGAACGAACGTGTTCGCTTCAGTTGGCAAGGATGCATTTCAGCACCACGGAGCTGTCCAGCTGTCCAGCATTCCATAGAGAAAGCGGAAAGGCAGCGGCTCTCTGCTGCTCCCCTCACTGGTGGAATGAGCGAAGAAAGAGAGTTAATCTTATGTGAACTCAAAATGGAAAGCGGGTTTCGAGCAATGTCTACATGTTCAATAGTTCTATTATATGTAAATTGATGCAGACGTGCAAAATATTTTCATTTCTTTTAGAGATACACTTCTTAATCGTCCTATTTGACATGAAGTTGGTGGATGAGCCGTTATTTGCTCTGAGTTGGAGCACAAAGGACCGTATTCTCTATATTTCTCTATTTATAGACCCTCTTCCCTCGATGGAATGTACCAATGGCTCCGCACGTAAGAAACAGGGGGAGAGAAAATGGTTCAGTTTATAAATAGTGAGGCGAAAGCGCTCCCCTTTCACTCGAAACTCCCCGCTGCTCTGGCAAACATTGCCCCTCCTGTCCGTTTAAACCGAGAAGACACCCATACCAAGTCCTCAAAGCAAAAAAAAAAAAAAATAAATAAAAGGGTGCCAAGAAGCTGGGACGGAGGAACGTGGGTGTAAATAGACAGTGAACGTTGTTGCTCTCTCTCTCTTTCTCTCTCTCTCTGTCTCCCTCCCTACCCTTCTCCTTTCCTCTCCTTCTTTCTCTCTTTTATGAAATCAATGAACGAGTTATTGGGTAGGACATAAATATAAGGAATCAAAGCCTCTATCGGGACCAACTGGGCACTGCACGCTTTTTTTGATATGAGTCTTCGCTGCACGCTACATGTGTTTTCCAATCATTGTAAATACTGGCTTTGATAGGACGAGAGAGGACCCTCTCTGGCACGGCTTGGTCTTGGAACCCAAATTTTCTCCTTTCTTTTTATTTTTTTATTTTCCCTCTTCTTCAAAAACGACTCTCCGCCCGTCGCCGTCTGCCGCCGTTGTCCTGCATACATCCCCAACTCTCCCCGCGGCAGGTCAGAAGATGGCAACTTTAACCAACGGGCAGGTGGACGGCGCGGTGCACGGTGTCGGCGTCGTGTCTGCCAGCACGAACGGGCTCGTGAACGGATTAAGCCACAGCTCAGCGGGATGCCCAGCCACCATACCCATGAAGGACCACGATGCCATCAAACTCTTCATCGGCCAGATCCCGCGCAACCTGGACGAGAAGGACCTCCGGCCCCTCTTCGAGGAGTTCGGCAAGATCTATGAGCTCACTGTGTTGAAGGACCGCTTCACGGGCATGCACAAAGGTGGGTCTAACTTCCTCCGCTCATCTCAAGGCTCCAGCGAGCGAAGGGTAGGAATTTGGCACACATGACGCACGGATGGGAGACTAATAGTGCGCAAATGGTGGCAATTTTTGAGACCTCTAAATGACTTTCTTGCTTTTGTTTTTGTTATTTATTTTATTGGATTATTGATTTATTTTTATTTTTTTTTGCATTTTGAAAATTGATGACAGATCTTCTTAAGACCTGACGTAGATGTTTCAAAGTCACCTTAATGTGCAGAACCATCACGTGAGTGGCCCAAAAGGGAGTCACGAAAGCATACGTTAAAGAGGGAGCGTGGGTTGTGTGATTAGCAGAACAGCTCAGCTGCCTGTTACACTATCGGTGTGTGAGAGAGTGCGCGTGAATGGGGGGCAGGGGATAGTGCACGTGCGTACGAACGTGCAACAGCACTATGAAAGGCCCTATGACTATACAGCTGTGTCTACTGAAATAAAATAAAAAATTCTATTGACTAATGAAAATATTTTTGGTTCATTCTACGAACTAAACATAGTGTTTTCTTCCATTTATAAATACCATATGTGTTTTTTTTTAAGATTTTTTTTTAAGAAAATTAAAACATCAATATATTAAAATGTAAGGAGAAAATGCTGTGTTTTTAGAGCTTATGCTTAACAATAATATTCTAATGTTTTCACTAATTAAAGTTAAAATCTAACCAAGCTTTGAGTGGAAACCCCTTTTTTTGATCGCACCTTGAGCGCCTTTCCTACTGGGCTCATATGAACAACCAAGCCACATTTGTTTTCCTCCTGTAAACTGTTGAGTTTATTGTACTTTTCTAAGTAATTCCGCTTCTCAATCATTATCGGAAACTCAGAACCGTATTTTAACTTACATCTGAAAACAGTAAAAATCTGGCACTGTTTGAAGTCTTTTTAAATGTGATGCCAGAACAAGTACAGAGACCTATTCTCTTCACTTCTGGTCTCCTGAGTTGTGTGAAGCATATGCAGCTTTGCCCCTCTCCCATCTGTTGCTATACACTGCATGTCAGCTGCAGAGAGGGCTACTACGTTTTTCTCGTCTTTAATAGAAAGACATTTTTTGTGTAAGGTAAAGGAGCCACCTATGGATGAGAGGGATGGACCACAATATTTATTACATTTTGTGTTTTCATTGGGATGAAAGTAGAAGAAAAATATTATTCCAACATTTTTGCTATAAATATTTACTCTATAGATTTGTTATTTATATTAAGCAAAAGCTAACATTCTAAAAATGATAGTGTTTCTTACCAGGTAGATGATATGACACCTACCATACCCGGCAGTCATCCCTAATCTCAGTAGTTTAACTGCTTTTAATTTGTACTTGGCAAATTATGATACTGTACACCTGTATAACTGTTATTGTAGTCTTGCTACCTGAGCAGATAGCCTGACTGATGGACCAGTTAATATTAGGTTTTTAGACTTATCTATATCAAGCTAAATTAATATTTTTAGTATTTCAATTATTAGTATTTTTTTGCCTTAGTCTTTAAAGGAACAATCATACAACAATAAAATCCCACTGCATTGATATCAGTGCTGTATTTAATCAATATATATATATATAATTACATGTTGCTGTTTGATGATGTTATACACTTTTGCATAGATAGTGTGAATGTAAGAATGTGGTATTTTTACTTACAGTTGAAAAGAAAAACGAACATCATAATGAACCACGCCTAGGTTGTATCTTAAACGTTTTAAGCTTTTTAAAGTGTTCAAACACACTGAAATTTCCAGACTTTTCCATCTTCTGACTTTTCATCTATTAAAGAAAAGTTTTACAATGGAATTATTTCCTTTTTTTCCAGTAAAAGAAGGTTATTTACACTCAGTTTGTGGTAGTAAATATTGACATTTATTTCAACAGTTACCCCTAAATCTAAAAACAGATGCATACAGTAGTTATATCAATGATAATTATTTTTAGAATAAGAATGATGATGAACATACTAGCTCTACTATCCATGCTTATAGCTTTTCTTCTCTCATTTATTTTCTTCTGACTCTTAAGGTTAAGTTTTTTTTTTTTTACTATTTGAAAATATCCAAAGCGATCAGTTGAAACTAGGGTTTCAACTAACGAGTATTTCGCTAATTGGTTTATCTGTCGATTGTTTTTTTTTAATTAATCGATAAATAATCAGACAATCAAAGGTTCTTTAAAGAAGACCTTTTACAAAATTAAACCAGGTGAAACTAAAACTTTTCCAATTAAGGAGTTCTTGATAGTTCTGGATTGACAGACAAAAATGTTTTTTATCTTAAACGCAAGATGTTTATATATTTTTTTTCTACAGTTTTGATAGAATTACTGTTCTTAGTGGGTTGCTCTACCAGCTAAAGGCATGTTTTAGAGTCTCTATACTACAATTAATGATTAATCGATTACTAAATTAGTTGACGATTATTTCAATAATCAATTAATCACGATTAATCTGTTTAATAGTTTCAGCCCTAGCTGAAATGACTATGTCATATTCACCAGAACCTGTGAAGTAACATGCTTTGTAGTATAAAGTGTCCAAGGATTTAAAAATGACCAAGAGCAGGATTAAGTAATAGTTTACAGAATTCATATGAAATAACAAAAATGGTTATTAAAGGTACATTTATGACGAAATGTTACAAAAGATAAACAATGCTGCTTCTGTGTAAAAGCACAATTTTGATTGTTAAAGCAGCTTTTCTCGAAAAACAATATTATTTAGTTTTGCCTGAAAAAAGAAAGAGCAGATCCATGTATATCTCACTGCATGTTCCCTTATCTCACTTATCTAGTTTAAATCATATAAGATATTTTACTTTAGTCTTATAACCATAGCTGACAGGATAAAACAAGTTTAAGTAACGTGGCCTTTTTTTAACGACTAATAAAGCACCATCTTCTAAAAATAATGATGGTGCTTTAACTCTCTTTTTTTATTTTTCTCTCTCAAGGGAAGGGTTATTCTCTGCAAATGGCCATCTAATGAGAGGTCACTAATTGATCTGCTGTACCTGCGGAACATCTCCCAGAGGAGTACGGAGCACGAACAATGAGCTGCCACACTGCAAAAAAATGTATTTTGGAAGGTGCTACATTTCTAGCCATTAAATGTGTTTATATCTAATCTAACATGCCAATGTATAATTGCAGGGTTAGCTTTTAAGTTCTAATTCTATTTTGTAAAAAAAATAAATCCTAACAAATCTTTTAAATCAGAATTTAGATAAAGGATTTACCGTGCTCAGATCAGAAAGTGTTGAGGCTCAATGATATAAATGAATATGTCAGTTTAGTAAAAGTCTATAATTGCCATCAGACTTGTGGATAAGATAATTAGGACTACAGTTAAACTTGAACGTTAACCTACACAGCTCTGCAGTAGCCATTGCTCATCAGCCACTTTGCAAGGTACACCTTGCTAGTACTGGGTTTGACCCCCTTTTGTTTTCAGAACTGCCATAATCCATTATGGCGTTGATTCATAAAATACTGGAAATATTCTTTGGAGAGTTTGGTCCATATTGGCATCATAGTATCACACAGATCTGGCAGATTTGTCGGGCTGCACGTTCATGATGTGAATCTCCTCTACCATCACATCTCAAAGTTGCTCTATTGCATTGAGATCTTGTGACTGTTGAGGCAGTGTGAGCACAATGAATCAGTGTCATGTTCAAGTAAACAGTCTGAGATGATTTTATGACTCTTTATGTCATGGCAGATTATCCTGCTGGGTACACTCTGATTAAAAAGGGATGGATATGGTCAGCAACAATACTCAGATAGGCTGTGGTGTTGATATGATCCTTATTTGGTACTATGGAGCCCAAGACGTGCCAGGAAAGTATCCCCCACACAATTACACTACCACCAGCCAGCCAGAGACATAGTCACAGCAAAAACCGAGACTCATCACACCAGGCAATGAATTCCCAATCTTCTATTGTCCAATTTCGATGAGCCTGTTTATAATTATAGCCTCAGTTTCTTGTTCTTAGCTGACAGGAGTGGCACCCGGTGAGGTCTTCTGCTGCTGTAGCCCATCCACCTCAAGGTTTGGCATGTATATTCTGAGATTACTCGTTTGTAACGACTGCTTATTTGATTTACTGATGCCTTTCTATCAGCTCTACCTATTCTGACCTGTGACATCTAGAAGGCATTTGCATCCACAGAACTGCTGTTTTATGAATATTTTCTCTTTTTCTGACCATTTTCTGTAAGCCCTAGAAATGGTTGTGCGGGAAAATCCTAATAGATCAGCAGTTTCTGAAATACTGCGACCAGCACCAACAACCATGTCTCATTCAAAGTGACTTAAATCACCCTTCTTCTCCATTCTGATGCTCAGTTTAACTTCCGCCAATCACCTTGGCAATGTCTACAGGCTTAAATGCATTTAGTTGCTGCCATCGGATTGGCTGATTAGAAATTTGTGTAAATGATCAGTTTGACAGGTGTAATTAAACCTCAACCTAATAAAATTACTGCTGAGCGCTAAGCATAGCTTAGCTGTGTTTGTCATGTTGGAAGATTAATAGATTAATCAAAAGTTTTCATACAGCTTTGACATTTAGAAACAGCTCTTTTGCTAAAGGAAATGTGCTAGCAAGCTGAGAATCATGGCTGCAAGATCGTTGCTGTCATCTTACAGCTCAGTTTAGCTAAGCTGCTTCATCAGGAAGAAGGTTTAGATGCTATGATTTTTTAGAATAAAGAAATAGGTTTGCATTCATCTTAAGTTAGTTTAGCAAATGCACAAAGCTTGATTTAAAGCTAAAAGGGAAGTTTAGCTTTTTAGCCAGTCATTATTAATTTTCATTGTTAATCGTTACAGGTCAAAGAATAGCTAGAACAGATTTTAAAGTCCATCTCTATTTTAGAAATGTGTGTTGTTATATACTTATATGATGTCAACACAAATATCGGCCAAAATCTACTCTAAGAAAATGTATGCCAGGTGTTACACT